CGGACGTCATCGCCGCCGGAGGGCAGCAGACATTCCCTTCCGTTCTCCGAAACCCCTTCCCCCAGCGGCGGCGGGGACGAAACGAACAGATCTCTCAGCTTGTGGCTGACCGACGACAGCTCCGAATCTTTCTCCCGCGATCTCTCCCTGTCGAGGCTCCGCCTCCGATCTGGCGGCAGCCTCCTCCCGCCGCCCCCTCCCGCACGGCCGAGCAGCATCCTGAGAGTTTTCCTCCGGCGGAAGTGGATCACGGGGCTCGATGCTGGGCTCCGGGAGGGGCTACCGGCCACCGCGCACTGGGTGGCCAACAGCTTGAATTTCTGAAGAGTCGCCATTTTCCTATGTAGATCGGATTGAATTAAAGAGACGGGAGGAAAAAGGAAAAGTGGGATTTGGGATTGCTACGAAAACTGGCAATGTCTGTTCAATTTTTTCTTTTATTAGTCGTCGCTCTGTATAAGTGTAAGAAAGGTATGGGAGTCAGTGAGAGATGCTAAAAACAAAGTGCGGAAAAAGAGAGAGGGAACATTTAATTGGGGGAGTTAAAGTGGAATCCATATTTGTGGTGCCCGACTCGACTCGACCCGACTCGTTTGAGTCCGTAGGCGGCTCATTTGAGGATTCAAACTTAATTTCCAATCAACTATCATTACACGTGGCTGAAAACAGGGAAAATATGGGTTAGACTTGTCCTTTTCGTTTTTTTTTTTTTTTTTTTTTATTTTTATTTTTTTTATTTTTTATTTTTATTTTAAAAGCAACACGCCTGCGACCCGAAAAATTTCAAGCTAAAAGCACCGAAATTCTATGAAGTATTTATATATTGTCCTTTCTTTTTCTTTGGCACTATCTTTTATATTTTAAAAGGGAAATTTTCTTCTCAGATTCGGTGGGTGAAGAATAAATGGACCATATATCGTTCCATACATTTGACCAAGACTACGTAATATATATCAAAATTTCAAAAATATTGTATTAACAATAACACAATCCAAGGGAAATTCTCTAACCATTCCGTCGAGATTTGTAACCCTTAGATCAACTATATCCCCGACGGTTACATGTTGATCTAACGGTTACAAACACTGACGGAATGATTCCGTAACCGTAACCGTACTGTAGCATCTCCCCACAATCCATTCTCATCAGCAAAACCTTATACTATTATTATATATGTACATCTATTTTACAGACACCAATTCAACTCCAAACATCAATATCTCCAACAGGCGCCAGAATAAATAAACTAATGATAATAATAATACATCAACAAGTAGAGCAAATAACTGAGAAAGAAAAAAAAATAAATAAAAGAAAAGAAAAATATTATATAATAGCTCTCACCTACTAGAATTCTGGCCCGACCCACTATCCGGGGATGGTGGCTCCATACCCTCCCTCAGCGGGCCCGTATCGTCGCTGGACCTCAAGTCCACGACTTCTACCGCATGGCCGCCATCCCGTATCCGCCTAAGACCCTCCAGCACATCCCCCATCGATGGCCTCATGTCCCTCTCCCACTGCAGGCACCAGAATGCCAGCTCAGCCACAGACGTAACAGCCCGCCTCACCTCTGCATCCGTCCCGAACCCCAGGCTGGGATCCACCAGCTCGTCCAGGGCCCGGTTCTGGATCTTGTTCACGGCCATGCTCGCCAGGTTTATGTCCTGTCGGTGCCTGTTTGTGTCGACTGCCATTAGAGATGATAAAAGCTCGACCAAGACCACCCCAAAACTATACACGTCACTTTTTTCCGTGAGCTGGTAGCACTGGTAGTACTCGGGGTCCACGTAGCCCGGGGTGCCCTGTGGGGCTGTTGAGACGTGGGTCACGTCGGTGGGGAAGAGGCGGGAGAGGCCAAAGTCGGCAACTTTGACGTGGAAGTCGGAGTCGAGGAGGATGTTGTTGGTTTTCACGTCACGGTGGATGATGTCGGATTTGTGGAGATAATCGAGGGCCTCGGCTGTCTCGACTGCGATGTCGAGGCGGACGGGCCATGGAAGAGGGGATGGGTTGGCCCTGCGGAGGCGGCCGTGGAGGTGGTCGGCGACTGTGCCGTTGGAGATGAACTCGTAGACGAGAAGGAGCTGGCGACTGCGGCGGGAGGTGCAGCCGTATAGGGAGACAAGGTTCTTGTGGCGGAGGCCTGTGAGGATCTTCACCTCGTTCATGAACTGCTCCACTTGTTTCAAATTGTTCTCGTACAGCCTCTTCACCGCAACTACACGACCATCTGGTAGTATTCCTGTCGGAGAGGCAAAGGGAGAGGTATGAGCTCAAATAAATAAATTCACTATTTAAAAGTAACAAAAATATCGTTATGTTGGACACCTTAAATGGAAATTTGGAGTATCTTTTTTGTGAAGTAGGAGAGGGATTAACCAAAAAAAAATGTTAAGGGTCTAAGTTTCTAAAATGTGAACAAAATCAATGTTGCAAATGATCATATGCTGATTTGGAAAGAATTGAATAGAGCGTCATTGCTTGCATTCTTACCATGATACACAGTGCCAAACCCGCCGTCTCCCAGGATTCTCGAAGGATCGAAATTGTCGGTAGCCTCTTCGAGCTCAGCATAATCAAACACTTGGACACCGTAATACATGCTGCCCCAGCCGAGGTTGGAGTTTGAAGTCGTCCTGAACAAGTGGCCGCTTTTACTGCCATTAGTTGAGGGAGGCCTTGAGAGAGGCTTGCTCCAAGGAGTGATAATTTCCTTGCTCGTGCTTCGGTTGGATCGCGAGCCGAGGCGCTCCACACGTTGCTGCTTCCTGCTCTGCCTGCAGTAGAAAACAAGCCATCCGACAACAATACCAGCAAGAACGGCACAGCCGATGGGGAGGCCTAGATATGGAGCACAAGAAAGACAATTATTCACAAGCTAATTGTGTTTGATGGAGATTGAAGAACTAACTTATTTTTTTCAAACAGAAATAATGAAACGTACCAATTCGCAATCCTGTATTCAAGTTATTGTTGTTTCCTGCAACAAACAGGCGAGAGATGGAGAAACGTCAGATTGTGTGGTGAGAGTTAATGACATGCCTGCAGGGACCTAATAGATACATGTGTAGGTCATCCATTTCGAGAGGAGACAATGTAAAAAACTAACTGTAATATGATTGCAGCTGGTGAGATTTCAGAATAACACATCCTAGAAAAGTTATCAACCAAACTAAAATTACTGTTGTTTGCTCCTTGCGGGTAAATAAATTCGAATGAAAATTGAATATCGCGGTTGCCATAAGCAGAGTACAGTTGAGAGCATGCAGAAAGAGGCAGTCATCTTAAAAGATGTTCTCAAACACAAAATCCGAAACAGAGCACTATGATTTAAGGTGCCATAAAGAATCTAAAAAATAACCAATGCATATCATTACTTCTTGCAGTGTAATACAAATATGATACAAAATAAAGCTAGATAGTATTCATTCGCCCGGATAACGCGATGGATTAACACACTATTTATCGAATGTCGGAGTAAATCGACAATAAAACCCCGCAAACACCTTCAATCAAGAATCATAACAGAAGCAAATCCCACCATTTACCTTAGTAATTCCCCTTATCCATTGGCTAATTCCAGCCGGAAGTACCAAGGAAACAGTGCAAGGCCGGTCGGCACAAACACCAATTAACCGGGCCCTTGGCAGCGTCAAACCCACACTGCCCACCCGATTTTATACACTCAAGGCTCAACAAAAACTCTCGTGAGGGACCTTAAGAAAGAAACGACCGTACGGTGCCACAGCAGTGGCGGATGCGTCGCAGCCTTAGAAGAAGCAAAGGGAGCCGTTAGAGACGCGGAGAAAATCGAGGGTTGCTGAACAGGGGAGGATTAGGGTTTTCCGGCTTGGTCGATTTGCTGGACGTGGTAGGTCGAAACTCGAGCGAGTTTCTAAAAAGGAGAGAGAAAGGCTGCCGAAACAGCCATTCCGACTAGCCCCGCAGGACGAAGTCGCCGCCGCCGCCGGCCCCAGCCGGTGGCCAGCCCCCGTCACCAGCCCCAACCTATGACCTACTCATCTGAAATGAAATCCAAAGAGCTCGAAATTGGATTCAGAAATTGTTACAGAGAGGAAAGATATTGCACTTTCCAACCAAAAACTGACTCTTTCTCTCTTCCCTCTCCTCGCCGCGCTCCCCGCCGCCTCATCCTCAGCGGACCACCAGCCACCAAGGGCGGATCTACATATGGTCCAGGCAATTGCGCTGATTTTTTATTTTTTTTTATTCTCACTATACCATTCATATACTCATATATTAATACAATAATAATATGTGTTAATTAAAATTTTATATTTAATATTTATAAAGATATAAATAAAAGTTTTTTTTTTTTTTAATTTTAAACAATCTCTTACCAAATAACATTATTATTTTAATTTAAAATAATACACTTCTTTTGTCAAATTTGACGGTATTATATTATGATATTTATATTAGACCATATAATAAGCTTGATAGATAAATTTATTATTTTTCAATTATAATTGAAAATATAATTTTTTTATTGACATAAATCAAATAGATATAATTATTTTAATTTAGATATACAATATGAACATCAAATTATAGATTCTCAAGATATGACTAATTTAATTATCATATATAAAACATGATAACATATAAAAGTATTGTTATTAACTTTTAAAATATATTTAACATTTAAATTAGTCAAGTGTTTAAAATTGAATGTTCTGGGTAAAGATCAATGTCTATTCGAATTTATTTCGAATCCTAAGATATTAACATACATAATTACAAAGCGGTGGAAGTTGACAGTGTAAAACTCTACATCTTTATAAAATAGCATGAACAAAAATGATGACATTTAGACATTTGACATATTTATAACTTATTACCAAAAAAATAGATATTGTAAAATATTTTTAGTATATTTTTTAATAATAATAAAAAAGCAAAATAAAATAACCAAAACTTATTCTCAATTTTATTTTTTAGCCTCAGGCAAGTCCTAGGCAAATTGAATAAGAACCCCTCTAACTCCCAATTGCTCAAATAATAAGAAAACCCTCAACTCCGAATTGTTTA